GACAAAAAAGGCTTTTATAAATGTAATAGCTGTGTGGCATGTAAGAAAACAAAAACCACCGAAAGAACTATTACTGATTTTAAATCAAATATTACGAATAAAGTATATAATATAAAAGAGGTCATTTCATGCAACAGTAAAAATGTAATCTATTTATTGGAATGTCCATGTGGCCTCCAATACGTAGGTAGAACGATTAGGCCATTAAAAATCAGAATTGCAGAACATTGCAGGAACATAGAAAAAGGTTTGCACAATCATTCAATACCATCGCACTTTTGCATGCATAATAATGACCCTAAACAGCTCACATTTATTGGGATAAAAATAGTCAAGAATCACTGGAGAGGAGGAGATGTTATAAAAAAGATCGGTCAAACTGAAATGCAGTGGGTATACCAGTTAGATACCCTACACCCTAAGGGGTTAAATGCTGAATTCGATCTATATAATTTTTTATAACCCCCTTTTTTTTTTTTTTGTACGTTTGTAGTATCTTCTTTTTTATAACAGATCTTAAGATATATGTACAGCATGTTTCTTTTATGTTTTTTTTACATTTTTTTATGTCTTCTATGCCTTTTTATGTATTTGTATCTATGCCTAGAGATTGTACTCATTTTTTAATACTATTTATCATTTGTCTTAATACCTTATTATGTTATTCCTGTAATAGAGGTATATAGCTTGTAGAAGTATAGCCCTTTTTGCACTTGCTATATATGGGTAATATCTTAATGTTCACTTTATCCTTCTGTTTATGGCTGCCCAAAATAAAGATGGCCGCCAAGCTATTTACACAGCACTATATGCCCACACCTCACTCCATGAGGCTTTAGAGCGGGCAGCGCTCGGAACGTCACGCACACCATATATTGGTGATACGTGCATCCCAATGCGCCACAATATCATTATCATTTTTCATTTTGATGCCGCAAGTATTTTCTAGTTCGACGCGAGCGCCACGTCACTTCCGGTATGATGGCGTGCCGCGTCACTTCCGGCATGACGCGTGCGTGTCAAACGGAGCCCGGAACCAGGAAGCAACACACCAGGAAACCATCACTCCATTAACCAGGATATAAAAATGGACTTTTTGGACTCTTTACCACACTTCTGAAGAAGCCTGTTTAGGTGAAACGCGTTAAGTGGGACATTTTATTATACTCTTTTATCCTATATTGTTTTAATTTTATATTAAAGTATACTTTTTTAAAGTTACTTTTTATATATATTATTTTTGATTTCCTGGATCCTGCATATCCTTGGTGGGGATTATACTACCTAAGCTGTTTATACTGGAGCAAGTTATATGCTCTAGAAAGTGTAAGTACAATACCTTTTATTACTGAATATACTATTAGTACTTACTTCACCATATTGCTGCTATCTCTTCTTATATTTATTATGCACATTGCACCTTGAAGAACATCCGTGGCAACTACTACGAATCCTAAAACGGGGATTGTACCGTCCAGGCGCTTTACAGTAGAGCTCTGCTATAGCTCATTCAAATGTGAGTGGACTGTACATAGCAATAATTGCTTATATTTAATAATTCTATCTACTGTATTTCACTATTATTCTTTATTCTAATTTTTTTGAGGCTACAACTGATTGGAATATCCAAGGATATATGTATGTATTTTTCTGTATAAAATAACACAAGGACAGACACTAAGCAAAACACATACCATTGGGGGATATCTGCCAGATCAGCCCAGCAAAGACATGAGTTTTCAGGTTCTGTTTGGATTTATATAGGATTGTATGTTTTTGTTTTGTTTAAATTTCCTTTGTTGCAAATTTTTTATTAAAACGTCAGAAGCATTCCTCATGAAAAATGCACATCAATAAACGTGCTATGTACTACCAATGTATTACTATAAATAAAAAATAAAGAAAAAACAATAAAATACAAGTTAAAAAATAAAGTTAAAGGGAAATTATATTGTGAGGGCAAATAGTGTGAGAACTGTCCATTTATTGCCAAGATGATATGTTATGCTGAGCTTTACATACCACACTCCTGATATCACAGAACCAGAGCTAGTAGCCAACCATCATTTGTTGTGCTCTCCTGACTGGCCAGTGAAGGTCATGTGAGTGTAGAAGAGCCCAATTTGGAGAGAGCAGCTGTTTAATTTGCTCCTCCAAAATGATTTCACTTGAGCAGGCATCTCAAGCTCCATCTCCTAAGATATTGCTTGACTACAATTCCCATGATTCTCTGGAAATATGTTGGATTTAAATAATTCTGAGAGTTAGAAGACAGGAGTCCATATTGTAAAAATCAGACAGCAAAAAAATTGCAGCCTCTGAGGAAGTATTGTTGTGTATGAAATACAATTTGATTTTGGCTAGAACCATGGGTAGCTCAATGAGAGCATAATCTTTGATTGAGAAACAACTGTACAAGTGAATAAATCATTTTATTCAGCAGTTGAAAATATATACATAATATATTTTGGGCAACACTGCAATTTGAGGCTAATCACTATGCACAACTATAATTTGCTTCAGCTGTTGTGTTCTGCTCCCATGAGAAATTGTGCAATTGAAGATCTGCTTGGTCTCCGGAAATAGTCAGCTTCATAATTGTAAAGCAGCATGTCAATTTTAAGACCTCTAAATTAGGAGGCATTAGGCACCTCTGAAAATAAGTACAACCCTTATTATCTTCTATGTTATTTTGATGTTTAGCTACTTAAATTGCATTTGAATTACCCCTAAAATGGATAAGTTTATAATTGGAAAAAAAAAAGAAAAGCTGGTGACGATAACGTTTGTGATGAGCAAAATGTAGCGCCCAAGCAAGAATCAACAGCCTGTATCAGTACATGAGAAGTGTAAAGAAAAAAATTCCAAGCCTCGTTTATACCAATAAGCTTTGGCTGAAACTGGGGTTCACATTTTCTGGTAATGAAAACAATCATTGTCCCCAGTGTTCAGTATCTCATGAAATATACTTGCAAATTAAAGTATACTACCAAACAAATGAAAGCTTCATTTTACCTCAAACCACATTCATTTGTCAGACAAACCAGTAGAATACTTTATTGACCTAGGTCCTCAACGAGGAATGTGCATAGTGTGAAATGTGAAAAAAAGTGAATCAAACATAGGTGATGAGTGATGAATATCAAGTAATAAAACAGTATCAAACAAAATCCCAGCACATTCTAAGTACAAAAGAGACAGAAAAAAACATGCATACATTTAAAAACATTTCAAATATCAAAGGAAGATTCTGAGATTTATACATAACATTCTGCAAACATTGCTTTAGAGGAAACTACAGGCATACAGCTATAAAGGCTCATATTTAATGAATAAGAGATAGATCTTCAGGGAGAGATCTCAGACAGCTCTAGGAATTAGATGAACAGCAGGATTTATATGTTTAAAGGCACAAAGAGAATAAATGTATGTATATATACACATTAGGGGAGAAATGCAATCGTGAATTTAAATTCAAAGGAGGGAAACACAAGAGTGTATGTGTGTCATAGATTCCAAGGACATATTTACATACATACATTTGCATCTTATCCTAAATTGTGTTCCAGGCAGTTGTATACTGCAAACACAAATTAAAAGGAATCCATGTTTAAAATGGAATGAGGCAAAAATGTGATTCTTTGTTAAACTAATTTGCATATGCCCACCCAGAATCCTTTGCGGTTGTAACATCACTGCTGATTTGGGATTTCTGTGGGAAAAGCAAGTCTTATGGCTTGACTGGTGTGCAGATTTTTGTTTAGCATTGTATTAATATATATATATATATATATATATATATATATATATATATATATATATATATATATATATACACACACATATACACACATACACTTTTATTTCCTATATTTGTAAAATATTATTATAAGTAAAGCATTTTATAATATATTATACATATGATTTCATTATAAGTGTGTTTTGAGATATATATCTCAAAGTACTTATAATGAAATCATATATATGCATTATATATGTATAATATATTATAAAATGTTTTTATTATTTTATAAAATATTATACATATTTAATATATGTATAATATATTTATTTATTATTTTTAAACTTTTTAGGAACTGCACAAGCCCCGCAATCACATGGCCCGGGAGAGCTGGATCGGGCAGAGGGGGCTGCCTGAGCGCCCAGGCAGACCCCAGGATCGCGATCACCGGTGGGGGATCGCCAGCGATCAGGTAAGTGGGGATTTACTATCGGATGTACCAGGTACGTCCGAGGCCATTGACGACCAATTCTTGTTAAAGATGCCTCTGTATCTTTTATAAGTGGTTAGTAGTAGTTTAACCTCCGGTTTGCAAGTAAAACCGATTTACCGTGTTGAAAAATGATGCATGTCTAAAAAGTGGTCATCAACATGGAAAGTTTGGAGAGCACTGAGCTATATAATATACTTAAACTTTTTCCAAATAAAAATTTAACCAATACCACAATATGCCAATATTACAACTTGACAGGCGCTAATTACTGTTGTAACAAAACTTTCACAGTCAAGAAGTGAGGTGATATGGACATTATTTTATTGATTTTTAGCTTGACATTTAAAAAGTAACTTGTTTAAATGTCACATTATTTGACATCTAGCCAAATAAGTCTTCTCCCGTTATTCTCAGCTAAGATGTTTAGAAACAGATGCTGGCTGAGGATACTGACAATTAAGCATTTACAGTTAGTCACCCATAATTTGTAATGAGACAGTTATCAGCTGTTCCTTTACTGTGATGTTGAGATCATATATGATCAGGTAATGTGACATCATAAACACGGATGTTAACCTCTGATAAATCAGTGATTATAACAAACACCTGTACTCAGAGCAACTGGGCATTTTTCAAGTGAACAGTAGCTTTCGCATTGTACGAGCGATAATTTCAACAGTTATATTTACTGCTATTATTCTGAATTCGGCATTAGCCAAATTTATTTGTACTTTTGAAACGAACAAACAGAGGTATTGTTTAGAAATGGAGAGGAAAAGGAAGCATTGCTTGGGAAAAAAGGAGACTCATGCTAAAAAAGAGGAACAATTTGAAGAACACCTTGCAGGGTCAAAAGAGTATGAGATATCTCCTGTACATTCTCAGAGAAGTAGTATTTGCAATAAGCAGGAGACCGATAGAGGCAGAGAACGCACAAGACAATGCTTCTCAAAGGAACACAGGGAACAAGCCCCGGAAAGATACCAATCCTCAAGTAAAGATGAGGAGCAGGGCAGGCAGAAAAAGGCAAAGCTGTCCTTATCTGGAAAGCTGGGTAGTCAATGTTATAAACAATTTGACAGTAAGAATATGCCTGACATGCAGAAGAATGGTCAGGTATGTCTACCCAAAAAGCATAGCTTGAAAAGATCAAGGAAATCTGAAGATGAGAACAAGCCGTGTAGCCTAAAGAAGCAAAAGTCATCGTCTGGAAAACAAGGACAGGAGAAAAGTGTTGAGGAGATAGGTAATCACAATGATATTACACAGAGAGATGATGAAAATGTTGCAACTGTGAAGACAATAAAGGCTTTACATGGATTTGTACTTCCACACAAGTCATTAGATTTTCAATAAATTGAATAAAACTCTTAGGAATATTCATTAAATTGTAAATTAAGGGTACTCTAAATTAATTGAAAGTGCATGTTTAGGTTTAAAAAAAATCTCCACAAGTCCACTATGGTTTGCCTATTTTGCCCTGAATTTGACATTCACTGCAAATTAATATTGGAATATTTATCCATGCATGGTGGATTTATCAATATTAAAAATATGGAAAAGTTGTGAAGAACATTAAAAAAATAAAAATCATGCATAGCATGTAAGCTTTATTGCTTTTAAATGAACACTCCAAGCAGTATATTGACTTAAGAGTGTGGGATGGGAATGTTCATATGACTATTCCATAGGGCCAATGAAATTAAACAATGCCTAGTGTTCATGATTAATTGGAAGCTACTATCATATGTGTTAAATCCTTAAGGAGGAAGTGGACAATCTAAGAAATCGAAGAAGCACCCTGCTCTGTCGCTGGATGGTTACCAATTCCATAGCACACTGGGGAAAGGCAACTTTGGAAAAGTGAGTGTGTAAGGGAAATATAAAATTTTAAAAATTAATACATTTAGCAGAGTAAATAGGTGGCTCCTTCCTTTTTACATTTTGCACCACATTATACAACAGACACATTGATAAATCTCAGCCTCTGTGTAAGTCTCTAGGTTTTCATAGTTTAAGTTGAAAATTAGGTGTAGAAGTACAATGTCCTATAATTATGATAGAATTGCCTAAGTCAGAGCTCGACAAATCCCAGGCGCCAGGTCACCATTGCGACTAGGATTTTAGACCTGGCATCTGGGATTTGTTAGCCCACTTATCACCTGAGGTAGTCAGCTGCCAATGAGTGGAGGCGGCCAGCCGGCTGGCTCATAAAGAGCATAGGCATGCGGTAAGTTGGCCGAGAGTGTGGGGTGTGCGCACGGGCGAGAGGCTCCTGAAAGATTGATGCAGACGGGCAGGCGTGTGAGGGAGCTGTAACCTCCCTGCTCTGCTCCCTCACGCGTCCTCCAGTGGTGCCAGGAGCTGGAATATGACGTCATTCCGGCCCTGGCATCACTAAACAGCGATCTATGGAGCAGAGCAGGGAGATGACTGAAGCCTCACTGGACCCCAGGAAAAGCCGAACCACTCCAGCTCCCGGTAGGGAGGCTGGGTGGTCACCTTAAAGGACCACTCTAGGCACCCAAACCACTTCAGCTTAATGAAGTGGTCTGGGTGCCTGGTCCAGCTAGGGTTAACCCATTTTTTTTTATAAACATAGCAGTTTCAGTTTCTCATTGATAGCCGCTAGAGGCGTTTGCATGCTTCTCACTGTGAAAATCACAGTGAGAAGACGCAAGCGTCCATAGGAATGCATTATGAATGCTTTCCTATGAGACTGGCTGAATGCGTGCGCAGCTCCTGCCGCGCATGCGCATTCAGCCGAAGAGGAGGAGAAGAGGCAGAGAGGAGGAGGAGAACTCACGCCCGGCGCTGGAGAAAGGTAAGATTTTAACCCCTTCCTCTCCCCAGAGCCCACCCTCAGGGCACTATAGTGCCAGGAAAACATAAAGTGGTCCTTTAATGTGTTTTGTTATTGCAGTGACAGTGAATGTGTGTGTGTGTCAGTGAGCGAGTGTGTGTGTGTATGTAAGTCAGTGAGTGAGTGTGTGTGTTTAGGTGACTGGTCCCACTCCAATCACACGGGTAAGGGTTTTTTACTCACTTTTTTCCCCCACGTTGTGCTGGTCTCGCCGCAGCTGGCCGTGCCTTCATGACTGTGATTAATCTTGATGATCTCAGCCAATCCAATGCTTTCCCATAGGAAAGCATTGGGAGGCTATTGCGCATGTATGGCAAAACACCATGCTGCGCCAATCACCACTCCTCATAGAGATGAATTGAATGAATGCATCTCTATGGGGAACATTCAGCGCCTCCATGCAGAGCATGGCGACACTAAACGTAGGTGCTGCATACTGTTAAGCACTGACCCAGGATGCACTCTAGAGGCCATCTGAGTGACTTTCACTAGAAGTGTTACAAGGCAACAATGTAAATACTGCCCTTTTCTTTTAAAAGGCAGGGTTTACATTGAAAATTGTGGAGGGACAGGTTATAGACACGAGAACAACTACATTAAGCTGTAGTGGATCTGGTGACTATAGTGTCCCTTTAAGAGCTGTATTTTTTTACTTTGAAAAACCTGGCTCCTAACTTTTTTTTTTTGCTGGCTCCTAGATTCTAAGCAAATTTGTCAAGCCCTGGCCAAGTTTTCCAAGCTAGCCATTCAGCCCTTATGAACACATCCATTATGTAGTGTAGGAATAATGTTATGTGATTGTAAACAGACACCTGTAATCTTAGTGTCTCAACTTCCCAATTGCTTTATTTCATGTTGGGCTAATACGGTCTTTTCTCGCCTCTCTTAGGTGATGCTGGCTTCCTATAAGAGCACAAAAAAACGTGTTGCAGTTAAAGTCATCAATAAAAAAAAGGAAAACCAGGCATCCGTCCTGACAGAGAACCGGGTTTTGCAAATGGCGGTTGGCAGCCCATTCTTATGCCAGGGATTTGCTGCCTTCCAGTCTGAGGTACGAGTCCGTAGTGTTTCTTAATTACCTTCCCTTCTACATACTTTGTATGATAATCAAACTCTTCTATAAACAAACTAATCAAATCAGTCAGTTTTCACTATTTGTCTTGTGCAAAATGTCCATTACTTTAAAAAGGAAGCAAATTGTGTACTGTGACACAAATATTAAACAAAAGAATAGCTAGAATATATACCGTATTTACGCAAATCTAATGCACACCTTTTTTGGAAAATAAATGTTTCCAAAATTTGAATGAGCATTAGATTCCATGGCGCACTACATTCGGGACAAAATTCGAAATTTTCCAGTGAATTGAAACAAGCGAATTAAAATTTGTGAATTAAAACAGGTGGATTAAGGGGCGGGGCTTGACATCCAAGATGGCCGGATGTGTTTCTGCTTAGCTCTGACCTGAACAAGCCTTATGTTAGCTAGCATGTTATATCACACTCTCCAGCCTAGCTTAGCTCACCACTAATCTAACATGCTAAATGTTTATGTATACACGCATCAAGCAAAGTTTAGCTAGCATGTTTCACACTAGATATATCTTGCATGCTGCCAGTTACCATAACCGTAGCTTTTTATTTCATTCATGTACACTTACATATTCAATATTTTGTTTCCTTTTGCATATATATATATATATATATATATATATATATATATTTTTTTTTTTAAATGTGCTGATATCTCTATTGCCACACTGTTATACTATGTGTTTTACTGATCTTGCTTCTGCTATTGGGACAATGCAAGACTGACTTTTTGTCAGGATTCGAACCTGGGTACTTGGTGGTTCTGGTTCTGCTTCCTACTTCTGAGCCACAGTAGCTTTGTTTCTTTCCAGCTATTTCAGTTCTATTGATACTGGCTTGTCTGCAGCACTGGGGGATGGTTCTTGTCGTTAGCCGTGCTTCACCCGATCCTGATCAAATATCAGCAGGGTATATAAACTCAGCCTCGCCCTTTGATCCTGTTGTGTGTGTGTTCCGTGCACAGATCCACAGACCAGGTGAATTCTTACCTGACCACCTTGGCCTGTGGCTATTTGCAAGGGTGAGCATCATATCTGCGCTACAGACTCCCAACTCAGGCAAGACCCTGACACTTATCTGTGCACAAAAATAATAATAAATAAATAAATAAAAAACAGGTGGATTAAAACAGACAAATTGAAACAGACGATTTCAAACTGACGAATTCAAACAGGTGAATTTCATTCCGGCGAATTCAAACAAGAAAATTCACACAGGCCAATTTTGTTCTTGAAAGAAGAGAGCTATAGAAAGAAAGAATAGACTTAACATGTAGCACTAATATTGAAATACCATCAATGTTACTATAGTATATGGAAAAAAACATTTTCATTGTAGCACAATGTTGTATAGTAGTATCTTCTTGTATAAATGCGCATTACATTGGCCTGCAAAAATATTTTTCACCTTCCAGGTTTAAAAAAATTGAGGTGTGCATTAGATTCGATGGCACATTAGATTCGAGTAAATATGGTACGTATGTATGTACTGTCTTAAAGTATTAATTATATAGCTTATAGTAAACAGCTATTTTGTGTCTAATTTGAAACAGATTAATTCTTTCCTCGTCATGGATTACATACAAGGAGACACTCTTGATGCTTTTATGGCTAAAAAGGGCAGTTTATCCGTAGAAGAATCAAAGTAAGTCATTACCAAAAATAATTGGAAGGAGACATAAGAAAGGGGTTTAAGGCTGGAGATGGATGCCCCCACCACTCACCCCTCCCCTTTTGTGTCTTCCCTCTTTTCCCGCCTCCCCCTTCTTCTTTTCTTATGCTGATTTTAGCTTCTTTTGTGAAAAAATATAAAATTGTTCATGCAAGCATATGGTGATCATGAAATAACTAAGCACAGTGGGGCACCACAGGCAGATTCAGTGTAAATTCAAAGACAGATATTGTAACGTACACTAGGGAACCCTTAGACGCAGACAGGACAGAGTAGAGAGAATTGCAATATCGATCCTTAGAATGGTCGGGTTATGCAAAAAGGGATAGACAAAACATGAGCAGAGGTCAAGGGAAACATAGAGACGAATTAAGGAGAGTCAAAGCCAAATATTAGTAACCAGGAAATCCAAATAAGTGCAACGCTCAATGGTAAACCAAAGACCACAACAGGGCACTGAGGCAAGGGAGGGGTTAGTTTATATACACACAGGGTGTGTCTGATTGGCTAACCTCCAATTAGTGTTAACCACAACATGTGGGAGGAGTTTCTTCTCACCCTTGTGGTCTCTGAGGTCATCACTGTGTACAGAGTCACATGACCGCATGCAGCACACATATAAGGATGCTGCTCTGGAGCGTGCAGCGTCAGACACACTGGCAGCCTGGAGACAGGGACCAGATGATGCCGCTCGTGGTGATGAGGTAAGCAAGGTCGCCGGGAGCGGCGCGGGGGCAGGGGACCTGACAGATATACATTGAGGGCTCAGTTATAAATTGTCTTGGATACCACACAACTACCATACCTTCGTGCACGAGAGATGCGTGTAACATAAAAACAGCCCGCTCAGTACATAGAATACTGTTGTAAAGCGTATCTACATACCTCCGACATACCTGTGTTACACTTTATATGACCTTTGTTAAAACTTTATCCCTATGTTCATTCATGCTTTATGGTGTAATATACTTATTGATTGCCTTGCCTTTTGTCAATGTAACTTAATATGCATAACTTGATAAATAAAGAATTTAACAAAAAAAAAAAGGAAAGCGGTTTAATATGCTATAGAAGATTGTAAGAAGGAATAGAATACCTCCACAAACGCGTACATATATAATTTATTGAGCCTCAATCAAAATTTACAGTTGAACACTGAGGGGGAACCTGGGGCTATTACTAATGTACTGAGTCAGAGATTGTCCTTTCTATATATAAAAAAACACAGGCCTAGCACCAATATCTGTCTGTCTGAACAAGATGCGCAAAATATCAGCTTGTCTATCTCTACTCTGCACCCAATTAAATACAAATCAGTTTCTCCTGAATGAGTATTGCTTAAAGCACAATCTTTTATTTCACTTTGTCTTCTGAACACCTTCTTCAATTTAAGGATCATAATTTTAAATAAATAAAATAAAAATCACATTGTTTTAATAACAATAAGAACAACACTTGGAATTTAAAATTCTCTAATCATTGGAGACAGGTCCTATTTCATTTAAATTTCATTTTAAAAATGTTTTGGAGGATGAGTGTATTGAAATGTTCTGCCCCGGTATTATTTGTGCTTTATTTTCATTTATTTTTTGGTGCAGATTGCTTTATATTATTGTATTGCTACTTCCTATCCTAATGTGCTTTATACCCCACCTCCTATAGACTGTAAGCTCGTTTGAGCAGGGTCCTCTTCAACCTATTGTTCCTGTAAGTCTTCTTGTAATTGTCCTATTTATAGTTAAATCCCCCCTCTCATAATATTGTAAAGCGCTACGGAATCTGTTGGCGCTATATAAATGGCAATAATAGAAATAATAATTTTTTAAAAATTATATATTTTTTTTAATTTAGATTCATCTCAGCGGAGCTTATCTGTGGGCTACAATATCTACATTCCCATGGCATTATACATCGGTCAGTATTAGCTTTGGTTTATTCAGAAAGCTGTAAAGTATTTGAATTAAAAAAAAAAAAAAAATTGTTTCTAACTCAGTTTTCTCCATTATTTTTAATATTCTTTCTCTTTATTTAGTGATCTGAAGCCTGAGAATATTCTCCTGACTAGAGAAGGCCATGTGAAAATAGCAGATTTTGGCCTTGCAGCAGAGAACATCCTGGGTGATAAAAAGATCAGGGAGCGTGTTGGAACACCTGTAAATATGGCACCAGAGGTTGGTAACAGGGAACTGTTTTAGGACCAGTAGGGGGACTGTTAGAGGGAGCGGTTAGATGCATTATTAGGAGGTGTTAAGGAAGTGGTCATAAAAACAGTAATAGCAGAAATGATTGGAATAAGTTCTAAAAGCAAAATAATAGCTATGGTGTGGATATAAGTGCAGTATAAAGTTTTGGGGCTGGAAACTTTTCAAATGATTTAATATTTAAAAAAAAAATGTTTTCATAGTTTAATAGATGTCAAAATAATTTTGTATGATATATTTTTCATATTTTGAAAAAATATATTTTAAAAGTTTAAATAAAAATATGAAATCACTTAAAAAGCTTATCCTAAACTATATAAGTCACCCAGACCACTTCAGCTCATTGAAGTGGTTTGGGTGCAATGTCCCTGTCCCTCTTAGTCCTGCAATGTAAATCATCGCAGTTTTTGATTACATTAATTACATTGCAGGACTAAGACTGCCTCTGGTGGCTGTGAATCAGAGAGCCACTAGAGGCACTTTCTGGTGGCTAAGCAACCAAATGTTATGGTATGCATGAGAACATCCAGCATTAGATACATCTCCATAGGAAAGCATTGAAGCTGTGCTTTCCAATGGGGAGTGACTTATGTGTAGTTGTGGTAGGAGTTAAAGGGAGCTGTTGCAGGAACGCTTCTAGACTAGCTCTGTAGGTATAATTTAAATAAAATGCTGGTGGTATATGAAAAATCTAAAGGATAGAGTAAGATGGGCTTCATATGAACATTCAGTTAATAATAAAACAAATTAAAAATATGGTTGTAATTTAAGTTTAAATGCAGTATTTATCAAATTACTTATCTTGTGTCTTTTTGCCAGGTACTCATGAACAAGGAATATGGTGTGTCTGCAGATTGGTGGGCCCTAGGTATACTTCTTTTCCGGATGCTTACTGGGAAATTCCCTTTTAATGACAAGGTCAAGCTATTAACATATGTGAAGCAGGTGTTAAAAGCACCACCACGCTACCCTGCCTGGCTGACCGGTGAAATTAGAGGCATCCTGGATAAGGTAAGGAACAGATACATGGGAAGGTGATAGAGATGGAAATGTTATATAATTTAATTGGATGTTATAAAAGGGGTTGTAAAATGACACGAAGAGAGCTATAGGAGGAGAGAGGCGAGGGGAAAGTGTTACTGGAACGAGCTGTTTGTTAGATTTAATGGAGTAAGCACTACTTTTACTGCATTTGAGGTCTGCTAGAAAAGTAGATTGCATAAGACATTAAATTTAAAATATATAAAAAAAATGCGGTAAAAGAAACAAAATATAACCAATATACTACCATAGAGGTCAAAGTCAAGGAATGTTTAATACTCACTGTATCTCCTGACTCTCTTACTAGCTTCTAAATAAGAACCCAAAGGCACGCCTTGGGGTGATTGGGAACATCCGTGACCACCCTTTTTATAGAGACATTAACTGGGGAGATCTAGAGGAGTGTAAAGTGAGCCCTCCATTTCTTCCATTTGCAGTAAGTAGACAAATGCCGTTACTTTTTTATTCATATGCTAAGATAAGACAACTTTTTGCAGAAAAATAATTCCACCACTAGAAAATGAAAACTGAGCCCGATTATTAATCGTCATTGCCTACTGTTATTACCATTTAAATGTATTTGACTTGCACATTTGATAAATGAAAGTCCCCTTTCTTCTGAACAAAAATGATATATAACAGGTGTTGGTGTACTTAATATGAAAGAGGTAAATTATGATTGAAAAGACAAAGTCAAATTCCAGGTTTTGATTTGATTTGATTTGGATCAGAACCTGTACAATTGTTTCTATCCTTAAAGGATTAAGTCCAACAGTATTCGCTTGCCAAGAAAAGATTCCATTAAACATAGCCTGGTATAATTTCTCTCCAGTCACTACTTATGTAGCGTAGAGTTGAAGTACAACATGACAAGTAGAAAATGGGCGTTTTTTACTCTTTATTTTCACTTAGATATTTGGTATTCTTATTTGGGCTTAATTTATGGTACACTTGGGTTATTTAGATTGAAGCATGATGGTAAGGTATGTCTTTTTGCTGATGATGTTGATGGTAAGGTATGTCTTTTTGCTGATGATACTAAGATATGTAACAGGGTTGATGTTCCAGGAGGGATAAGCCAAATGACAAATGATTTAGGTAAACTAGAAAAATGGTCAGAATTGTGGCAACTGACATTTAATGTGGATAAGTGCAAGATAATGCATCTTGGACGTAAAAACCCAAGGGCAGAGTACAGAATATTTGATAGAGTCCTAACCTCAACATATGAGGAAAGGGATTTAGGGGTGATTATTTCTGATGACTTAAAGGTAGGCAGACAATGTAATAGAGCAGCAGGAAATGCTAGCAGAATGCTTGGTTGTATAGGGAGAGGTATTAGCAGTAGAAAGAGGGAAGTGCTCATGCCATTGTACAGAACACTGGTGAGACCTCACTTGGAGTATTGTACACAGTACTGGAGACCGTATCTTCAGAAGGATATTGATACCTTAGAGAGGGTTCAGAGAAGGGCTACTAAACTGGTTCATGGATTGCGGGATAAAACTTACCAGGAAAGGTTAAAGGATCTTAACATGTATAGCTTGGAGGAAAGACGAGACAGGGGGGATATGATAGAAACATTTAAATATATAAAGGGAATCAACACAGTAAAGGAGGAGACTATATTTAAAAGAAGAAAAACTACCACAACAAGAGGACATAGTCTTAAATTAGAGGGACAAAGGTTTAAAAATAATATCAGGAAGTATTACTTTACTGAGAGGGTAGTGGATGCATGGAATAGCCTTCCAGCTGAAGTGGTAGAGGTTAACACAGTAAAGGAGTTTAAGCATGCGTGGGATAGGCATAAGGCTATCCTAACTATAAGATAAGACTAGGGACTAATAAAAGTATTTAGAAAATTGGGCAGACTAGATGGGCCGAATGGTTCTTATCTGCCGTCACATTCTATGTTTCTATATTTAGATAGTGGGTAGCTTCTAGTGGATGTCAGCTATCTAGTAGTCTATGTTCTCGAGACAGACCATACTAGCCAGTTAGGGTTGTATTAGATAAAGGGATTCTAGCAATCTTTATCAAATTTTATGCAGGACATTTATATAGCTTATGTTCAGCTTATTATCAGTAGGGATTTATATTAAGTAGGGTATCAGAACCCCAAATTCATCTGTGAAGGTTATTTATCTTGGGTGTCGATACAGTTTATTGTTTGATACTTGTTGTCTGCATGATCTTAACAAGACCTACTTTCCTAACTCATATCATTGTCCTGCGTACGCTATCCCTATCTTACTCTACAGCTCACTACCACTGCTACTTGATTGCTATTTAGTTAGAAGGGGATACATTTGATTACCTTGATACATTTATTGAAACAGTTTCCCTGTTTCCTAATTACAAATTTTTACAAGGTTGTTACTGAGGTACATTCTGATTTACTGAGGTGGTGTGTTTAACCTTTTCATGAGACATTTAGTAGACATACTTCGACATTTATCCTTGCGCCTATTAAGGATTTTCCCATATATATTGGCATAGGTTATGTGATGGTATTGTCTTTTAGACTATCTCTATTTTTAATTGTTCATCTATGAATTCAGATTAATGCAAGTTGTTATGTTGGGAATTTCACTTTAAAGTTATATGCTCTAAATTTTCAAAGGGTCATCCAACGACCTTTGCTCCTCTTCATTGGAACATATTGTGTTAAGTCCAACAGTATTCGCTTGCCAAGAGAAGATTCCATGAAACATGGTATCATTTCTCTCCAGTCACTACTTATGTAGCGTAGAGTTTAAGTACAATATGACAAGTAGAAAATGTAATTTGATGCTGTACTTATTAAATCTTACTTCTTGTTATAGACGTCAGATCATGAAACAAGCACAGTGGACTTTAATCAATCTTTCATGAAGGATAACATCTCCTCATGTGATGACCATCATATCAATGGCCTGTCTTATGTGAACTTTGAATGGCAGGAATAGAAGCAGAGTGCACCCTCTTGAATACCACCAGTCAACAGAACATCGACTGACCAGCAGATAGCCTCTGCCACCGTCGCTGCTGTGTACCAACAAACAGAGTATCTTGTGCTGCATACTATAATACAGAATATTGCAGTATTTATTTGAGTTATTGTTAAAGCAGACCTTTTTCTCATTCTCTAATCAACGTCATACTAGCACTATATTAGCACTTTATTAAAGAAACACTACAAGCACAAATGTCTCCACTATTTGCATGTATTATAGCTTCCTGTAGTGGTTTTACTGCCAAGAGTGTCTTGCCCACCACCCCAGGCTCAGCTGGCCACCTGTAATACTACCACTAGACAGCCAGGAGCAGGCCCAGACTGGCCATTGGGCATACCAGGCAAATGCCCGGTGTGCCGCGATTGCCTTTGGCCTAGGCCTGCAGGGGAGATCACAGGATCTCCCCGGCAGGGCCCGCGCTACCCGAGTGCCGGCCCTGCTGTGTGCCTTCATGGGCCAGTGATGAGATCAAAGATTTCCCTCACCAGCCCACAGGCAGTTACAAGCGGCCACCGGCTGGGGAGTGAGGGAGGCAGGAGAGGACCCGGGGAGTTCAGCCAGCAGCTCCGCCGGGTTCCTCTCGCGGTATTCTAAGCTTTGCCGCAGGCCAGAGTTCACTCTCACCATTGAGACCACCAGGGAAAGCAGCACTGCACCCTCCTCCATGGCAGCACGACTTCCCCCCCTTCCAGTTTAAAGGTAAGAAGGTGGGGGGAGGGGGTCCCTGAGGGTGGGGGAACCCTCAGGGCACTATAGTGCCAGGAAAAAGAGTATGTTTTCCTGGCACTATAGTGGTCCTTTAAACTTAAAACTTGTTTTGACAAGGTTCCTTTGTCTCTTCCTTCTGTAACTCAGAGGGATGCGGACAGTTAAGTGACACTAAGTATTACAAAGCATGTTTAGTCCTCCGTCTGTAGATCATGCTGTTGAGGTTTTCACCAATTTGGTAATGAAAGATGTTAACACTCTGGTTACATCTAATTCTGGCCGCAGGCATCACCCTAAACGCTCTAAGAAAGAAAACAAGCCCTTGATGGATTGAGTGTAATTATTGATTTAACTATTAAACCTGCAGATAAGGGTGGTGCCATAATGGTACAGAATACGGTGGATTATGAAAATGAAATCCTTAGAAAACTAGGAGATAATGAGACGTACAAATGTTTACCCGGTGATCCTACTTTAGCCTTACAATCTAAAATTGAAACACTATTAACTAGGGCTTTGGATAACCAAATCATTAATAAGGATCTATTTAAATTTTTATTATAGACTACTCCTGTCATACCATGTCTTTACACTTTTCCTAAGATCCATAAATCATTGGTTACACCCCCAGGTAGGCCGATTATAGCAGGAATTTGGTCCATGCTATTCCCATTGGTCTAATTTTTGGATAATGTTTTGAGACCTTTCCTGACAGAGGTAAACCTTATGTGAATGATACCACTGAAGTGTTGTTGAAGCTGGAGGAAGTTGAAGTAACTGACACCTTGATCCTTGTCACTTTAGAAGTTACTAGCTTGTATACATCCATTGAGCACAATACAGGCCAAGCGGCAGCTAAATCAGCTTTGATGACATTAGGATTTAAGGACGATGTTTTGTATTTTTTGATGGAGCTTTTGGAAATGGTGATAAAAAAATAACCATTTTCTCTTTCTTCCACTTACAGGGTACTTCTATGAGCTCCATATGCCAGTATATTCATGTCAGAGTTGGAGGAAAACTCCATTTATCCTCACATTTTATTCCAACAAGCCACCAGATGGTGACGCTATATTGATGATATACTGGTGTTGTGACGTGTCACGTTTGAGTCCCTGGAAAAATGCTATGCTTTTTTTTTGAACACTTGTTCTCAAAGTATCAAGTTTACAATGTCACATGATTTGGTGGAGTTACCTTTTTTGAAAATTTTGATTGAAAGGCATGAGAGGAAATTAGTTACTGATCTCTACAGGAAGGCTATGGATAGAAATATGTTGCTTCATTACACCAGCTTACATCCAGAAATTTTTAAAGCTTTACCGAAAAGTCAATATACGGGTTAGGAGACTTGTGTCTGATCTAATCTACTCTACCATTGAATGAAATAACGTCTGGTAAGCTGTATATGTGTTTGAGCGCTCCACTTATAGGTGTAGGTCCCTGTTACTTACACCGCACTGAAAACCACAACTTTGTCTAGTGGAATAGAGGATATTTCCACACAAGTGTACTGAGCTGCCTGCAAATCACTTTTGTTGTCTAAGCACTTTGTTATACACACCACTCTGTAAAAAGAGGTAACCTTTGACTGGTATTCATGGATTAAGATTAGCGTGCGTGTCAGGCATTTGGCAGGCAATTTTGCTGGGTCCATGCAGAGCAAATGGTGTCCGGACCGGTTCACCATTAGCTTTTCTCTTTTCGGTTAGCTTTTCTCTTCCTTTTTTCTTGCTAGTATTCTTATTTTCTTTATATATACTTCTATTATTATTGACTATTCTTAGGAGTTTGTTATTTCTCCCCCTGTTCGTGCGTATGCTCTATACATTTTGTGTGTAACACATGTGCTTGAACACTGGCGTTTCGTATGCTTAGTTTTTTTTTCTCTGTTCGCACGCATGCTCTTACAGATTATAGTTCGGCACATTTTGCGTGGGTCACATGCGCCTGAACATGGGCGGTTCATAAGCTCTGTTCATACGCTCGCATGTCTTAACGGGTAATAGTTTTTGAGGACTATTCTCCCTTTTTTGATTGTGCTTGAGCGATTATGCATTGCACGATTAGATCGGCCTTAATGTAAGCTGGTCTAGTATGTACATTCTTCTGTTTTGCATCCCAGGGGACAGGAAACGCCGTTTTGTGTTCCATTTGACCGAAAGTGGATCGACTGGACTCCAATTCACATTTTTCTAATTTTATTTTTGCTTTAATATCATTCTTTGTATTTTTTGCCTTACTTTCTGTAAAAAAAACAAAAAACTTTTAAAACAATTATTATTCTGCTTGATATTTATTTTTAAGTATGTAAATTCTTCTTTCTTATCGTTGGGTGGCTCGCCTTGTATCATGCATATTATAGTTCTTCTTTGTCACTTAAATATATAACACAATCAGAATTTCCTGGCTTTTCTTATAAAAGAGATTTATTCTTCTTGCTTTGCAAATACAATGTCAATACTTATAATGTCATTGATGTTAAAGAGGTCAACAGCTGATGTTACATGATGGACATTTAGAGTGTGAAGACACTCTGCATTGATGTTCTGTGTCTCAGTGTCTGTGTCTCATTCTCCTAGTCACTCTCTTCCACAGATAATACATACTACATATATATCACCAAAATGGCTGTGTAAGCTTTACAAGTCAATGCTACTGATTCAAAATGCTTGTGGGCAATTCTAATAACCCTATTAGGTCATCCCATGTTCCATGGACACTCAGAAAGAGAGACGAGCTTACAACCCTTATTGTTATCTAACCATGTCACTCAAGATCAACCACACCTCAGTGTGAAATGCATGTAAGAGACATTGCCAAAATCTAGAATATTTTACACTTTCCTTGGACACACATAAGTAAGCTCCTAATGTATCAAAGTATTTTTATTGCTATTTGCATGACCTGTTTAAATCACCGATGTGAATGTGATATATGAAGTTTATTATGGGTTGATTATTTGCACTTAAGATATATATACACTTGGTTGACTATGTAGTGTTAGCGTGACAAAGACCTCTTGGCAGGTCGAAATGTTGCTGCTCTTTTTTGTACCATTAAACCTGCCTGCGGCTTGAACACCTTGATTGCCTGGAGATTTTTGTTTTGTTTCCATGTTTAGGGTAAAGTCATGAACACACTATGTGCCATGCATGTTCATGGCCTAAGTGAAGTGTTTTCACCATGATGCTCCAGGCACACTCATACCAGGAAAGCCTGGCATAAAATACCAATTGCAAAATTAATTACATTTTGCAAAAAAGATCACAACCCTTGCAAACTTTTACTTAGCACGCCTCAAACACCCATTTGTGGCAGTTCTTCTCTAAAGGTCCTATACTAATTCTACCTTATTTATAAAACTTTTTGCTTATAATTGCTTTAATGTGCAAAACCCTGGTGTTCCTGAGCAAGCTGCTTTCCTGTGCAACCACACCCGGTTTCCAGAGCAAGCTGCTTCCCCGTGAAAACCCCTGATGTTACAGAGCAAGCTGCTTTCTTGTGCAAACTCCCGGTGTTCCAGAGCAAGCTGCTTTCCTATGCAACCACAACCAGTTTCCAGAGTAAACTGCTTTCTTGTGCAAACCCCCAGTGTTCCAGATGCCCTGCTCCCTGTATCCAGAGGCGCTGCACCCTTCCTTACATTGATTATTCTAGTAATGAAAATATTTTTCTTTAAATTGTATGTATTCTGGTTATTTTTCCTTATGGGTTCCTACCTCTAGAGCAGCGTTTCCCAATATCCGCAAGAACAAAATTGGGGTTTCATCGCAATTCACCAAGACCAAGATGGCCGCAGCTACCTGCTGTTCCCGGAATGTCAGAAACAGCAGAGATCGCACAACCACAATTTTATTAAGAGATTTTAAGCCCGCCCTGCAGTCAGCCATCTTGCAGCCAGTCTGCCCCTGCCATCAGCCATTTCCTATCACTCGTGGTGGAGAGTGGACCTAAAAAGTGCAAGCACATTGAAATTGTTTGTTAGGGAGATTGAAAGGCTCTGTTAGCTAGGAGTATTGCAAGATTCTGTTAGATGCATTGAAAAACTCTGTTAGGTAGGGACATTGAAATGCTTTGTTACGGACATTAAAATGCTCTGTTAGGTAGGGGCATTGGTTAGGTAAGGGCATTGAAAGGCTCCGTTAAGGGCTGAAAACTTAACTGAAAAAAAGTTATTTGGTTTGGGCGCTTGCTTCTCATCCTTTTTTTTGTTAAAGAAAGTTATAAATAGTTTAAAATAT